TGTGTGTGTGTGTGTGTTTATTTGTGTTTATTTATTTATTTTTTGTGTTTCTGCACATTCATATGTATATATATACTGATATTCATATCTGTATATGGACAGATTTACGGAAGGGTGTATTTCGGGATTTTTTTATAGATTACATTTGCAACCTTCATTTTTCTACAAATTTTCTATTTTTGGTATGTGATCAATAGTTCTTTTGAACTTGCATTTGAGATATATTTTTTCATATTTGGACGACAATGCTGTTGGTAGTCTGTTGAAATTGGTTCAAAACAATGTTCACTTTTATTGTTCGTCGTCATTTGTAATTGTTTATATACACCCACCTCATAGTACTCGTCATTTTACATGCACATTCGTAGTCGTCATAGAGGTTTGTATATAGTAAAGATATACTTTAATTTAATTCTTTCCATTCAACTCGCCATTGACCATAGTATAGCTGTGACACAAGTATATACGCCTTTAAATTACCCTAATTCTGAACATATTTTGCTTATTGTACTGTTTCGTGATCTTGATATACGGTCGTGTTGAATACCTGTTCTTTGGGCGCAGCTGAGAGCAGCGACTTGTTCTAGTGCGACTTCGGAGTGAATCGATATCAATCAGTAGTGCATAGGTGGGATGGCGTAAATTATCCATTATTTCTATATACAAATATATATGAATTTTATTTACTTACCGTTTAAAACCTATAGCTGATATAAATAGAATTTGATTCCATGATTCTGGGACATATAGCTTATAACGCTCTCGGCTTTTATACGCATTTTGTCAATGTTTTTTATACACATGTGTCAAGGTTTTTTTAACACACTTGTTATTTTATGTATACATGCTTGTCTTATGTTTTTTATACACTTGCCAATGTTTTTCATACACACTTCTTAATTACACACATGCCAATGTTTTGATTCCGCTATCATTCCTCTACTGCTTCAGGAGCTGATTAAGATTGCCACACATTTCAAAATCGAGCGGCCACCGTTTATGGAGAAATCCGAACTGCTGATTCTCGTGTGGAACCGAGTCATCAAACTCAACGCACCCAACAAACACAAGAGCAATGGCAGCACCACCCGTGCCAGCCCTGGGGGTGTCAGTTCAAACGGCAACGCAGCCAACCAACCCCACCAACGAGCCACGAGGGGGCAACCACAAGCCACACGGACGACCACCCAGGCACCCAGGCCAACAACAAGCACACAGCAACAGCCACCCACTCGCTCGGCGGAGGCCAAGGCATCGCCCGATAACCCGTTGGCGGGGATAGGGCAGGACATCAGCAACGCTTTCAAAGGGGCGGTGTCAGGCATTGGAGACATGTTGAACAGTGTGGATGAGTCTATCAATCCCAGCAACAGGCGAGCCAGTGGCCCCGCCCAGGGCAGCCGCAGCGGGACAGCGGCACGCTCCAACAGCAACACACAGACCAGCAACAGTAGCACAGCCAACCCGAGTGCCAGATCACATACGAACACGAGTGCAGGCACACCAGGCACCACCACAGGCACGGGAACAACTGCCAATACCAACACAAACGCAAACTCACGGACTAGCCCAGCCACGCAAACAACCACGCACCCCAACACAGGCACTGACAGACGATCACCCAACACACGCACCACGGGCGGTGACAGGAGCAGCAGTACCCCCGCCAATGCAGACACCGACAAGGACAAGAAGACACTGTATCTGCTGGAAGACCTACACACAGAGGACCAGGTGCGGGCACTGAACATTCGCCAGCTCAAGTATGTGCTGCAAAAGCAGCACGTGACCTACGCCGGCGTGGTGGAGCGCAGAGAACTGCACGACATGGTCATGCGGCTGGTGCGGCAACAGGCCATGGACAACCTCGGACTGTACGCCCGAAGCCCCACCAAACGCACACGCAGCAAGCCAGAGGACGCGGGCAGCGACGGGCGATCGCCTAACGACACCAGCGCAACCAGCCTGAGCATGGGCATTGGCGATGACGACGACGAGGATAAGGACATGTGCAAGATCTGCTACGAACGCCATGTCAACTGCGTATTTCTGGAGTGTGGCCATCTGGTCACGTGTGTCGACTGTGGTTTCCAGCTGACCGAGTGTCCCATTTGCCGACAGTTTATCACCCGGCGTGTGCATACTTTCCGAGCTTAGTACTGGATGTGCGACTATGGACGTCTTGGTTGAATTTAGGCTGCTAGTGTGCGATCGAACTAATGGATCTCACTCACTCGTATATGACAAATAAACACAGCGCACTGTGCCGGCATACTTGTGTGATACGTAAATACTTTAAGTAATGGAGATCTGGTTCTTACCAGTAGCTCGCTTCATACTTCCACTCTCGATTTTCCATTGTAAAAACATAGGACATATACTCGTGAATGCCGATGCATAAATTGTTGGATGCATAGGCGAGTTAAGTACATAAAAATTGACTGACCTTTGTAGATGTATTCTCTATGTTTATGAAGCCATATATAATATAATTAGATAATATGCCGAGGATATCGAAAACATAGCGCCAAGAGTTGCGCAGAGAAGATGCCGACGATATTAAAACTTAAGCAAGCAGTATCTAAATTCGCCCGCAAAACGGTGGCCGATCCAAGAATCACTGTAAGTGTTCGGATTACTATGCATATTCACTGTAGACATCCGGCGTGTAAATAAAAACCTCATATTCTAGCTGCAACAGCTGCCAGATGTCGTCACAGGTACATGGTTCTCACTTATCTGTGGCAAAATATGCACTGTTTCTCGGACGGCTGGCAACGTAGTATTCCTGGTTATGCAATATTTCAGTAGAAATCCAGATAAATAGCCTTCGGAATCGTACAAGAAGAAGGCAATGGAAATCTCTATTTTCTAAAAACAAAGTATTTTACGTCACATTGTTACAGTGTCACTTCGCGTGTTTTATTAGTAGGCTATGCTTCGCGAAGCCGGTAATCCGCCAAAATAATTCAGCCATATTTGGCTGGCGAAATGTGTTCGAACGGAGTATAGAGCTAGCCAGCCTATTTAGAGGGCGCCATATGTACTAGTAGGCTGCCGGCCTAGCCCCCATCAATCCGTTTAATAAAGGGGTCCACCGTCCAAGGCAACCATTGGACGTACAAGGAATTTTTATTAATAAACACGTATACTAGTAAACGTAAACGCATTTATGATTTATTCAAATCTTGGACGTAATACTTTAACCGCCTTCTTCTATTAAACAGAACAGTACTCGTACATACAATATAATATTCGTACAATACTTTGCACTCCTGTATACACAATACATACAGCGTCGCAGCATACCGATTGTGCCAGCCAAATAGATCAATTACACCATGCGCGCGGCCTTAAGACTCTATCAAGCACAGAAGGTGTTGCTGCCTCGGCTGTCCTTCTACGGCAAGTCGGGTGAATGCATGTTGTGCGACCAGGCGAAGCAAGTGCTGTTGGAGGTAGAAGACGAGGTATGTTATGCCACAACGGAGTGTAATTGTGCATCATCAGTACATGTACTGATGTAGTGGCTTCAGATACGTTCATAGTATGTTATCGTATGTGCATGCGAAGCTATCTCTGTAGCTTTTAACATTGTCATATCAATATGTTCATATTAAGCCATCGTATGCCAATGCGATGCTATCACTTTAGCTTCTTAACATGATCCCAAAGAGTATTGCAATTGTCATAATACACGCCTCATATGCCGAGGCCGCGTATCATTCTCACAAGGTACTGTATCTTGCGTATGCTGTGCCTATTAGTGTAAATATCTTTTGATAAGAGGCGGGGTTTGTTTACTATATAAAGCCTATACTCGAAGTATCGGTTGCTAAGGTGACATGCAGATATCCCCAGGTGCTTGCGCTGCCAAATGTGTGAGCTGTGCTAGTGTTGGTATCTATGACATGTCCGTGTACGTGCGCCACAACCGCTTCGTTTAATAGATGAACAAGTCTCAACTGCAGCCCCATAGCAACACAATTGCACTCCTCTTGACACTGTGATTGATTTGATGATAATGGAGCCGAGGTTGCTGATATGAGCTGGAGGCTTTGTCGTATATCGTTGTCCATGCACTCGCTCATAGTTTGCATTCTGGCCCATGACAAAGTTACATCCGTGTTGTCAGTAACCGTGCACATCATATAGCTGTGCGCATATCACGTGTTACCGTAGTGCTCTTGAGGCCATTGAGAGGACACCTCCTGCACTATTGGAGCAATTCCGAGAGAGAGTCACCAGCTGAGCAGCACCTGTTTATGCTTCAATGTAATTGGCAATAGCGGGCGTGTGTGTGAATTGTTCATTGTTCTTCGGTAACATATTGGGTTCTAGGATAATGTACGGACAGTCTGTCCTGGGTTGTAGCATCACTTGCACACACGAGTGAATATGTGATCATGCAAGTTAGAACCTAGTAACCTAGTTAGCAGCTCAGAGGATAATGGATACATGCCCAACGAACGCACGAGATAAGTAGAGGCTGCGATTAGGCGTAGCCTGAGGAACATATACTGTAACTTATGAGCTTCAAACTGGTCCTATATGTGCACTCTATCTTATGTCCCCCTGTACTACAGTTTTGTATATACGCTGTTGCTTTGTGCTGTTGTGGCGTGCAGTTGTCAGTTTTATAGTTAGTGTGCTAAATTACCTTAATATATTCTGTTACGGGGGGCTGCTGGCATAAGCTTGCGCCGTACAAGGCATTCTGCAGATGTTGCCCATCAAACTCACAGCACTGTGCCATTACTATGGGCAGCATTGTCAAATGTTGTAGCACCAGTTGCGAAGGATGTTACAGCTCATGCGCTCACTACAATGTGTGTCTGAAATGGTTGTGTTATGTGTCTGAGCACACCAACGACGCTACTCAGCAGTGGAGTGTATCTACTGGTTGCTGCATCTCATGCGCTCACTACAGTGTGTCTCTGAAATGGTTGTGTTGTGTGTCTGAGCACACCAATGACACTACTCAGCAGTGGAGTGTATCTGCTGGTTCTAAATACACCTACCCAGCTGTACAGCATCACGAATTGAGACTGGGAGCCCCGCTACACATAGGGTTTTAGGTCAGCCGTCTATATCATCATGCTCACTATTTTCTTGGCTTTCACATGCCACCTCCACCTTTCTACTCGTACTAATGCAGGCCCCACACAGCGTGGAATGGATTGACATCACCGACCCCAGAGAGAAGGAGGCGTTCGACGAGTACAAGTGGGACATCCCAGTGCTGCACCTGAACGGGAAGGAAATAATGCGTCATCGGTGTGTGCTTGTGTGTGCACGTGCTATTCTCGTGGTATTGGATCGCCCTGTCGTCTACTGTGACCTCCTGTGTATATGTCAAGCACATCGCTGTACACAATGGCTCCTCACACGTAGTCTAGCGTGTGTGTCTGGGATTGTCATTCTTGGCGTCGTTCGTGTACTGCGAGATATTGTGTCGAGCAACATGTGTGTACAATGCATCATCCATCTTTATTTGTATGGTTCATTCTTATATTCGTTTGCATGGTTTATTCTTATATTTTTTTGTATGGTTCATTCTTGTATGTGTTTGCATGGTTCATGCTTGTATGTGTTTGCATGGTTCATTCTTGTATGTGTTTGCATGGTTCATTCTTGTATGTGTTTGTATGGTTCATTCTTGTATGTGTTTGTATGGTTCATGCATGTTTGTGTTTGTATGGTTCATTCTTGTATGTGTTTGCATGGTTCATTCTTATATTTGTTTGCATGGTTCATGTTTATATTTGTTTGCATGGTTCATTCTTATATTTTTTTGCATGGTTCATTCTTATATGTGTTTGCATGGTTCATTCTTACATTTGTTTGCATGGGTTATTCGTATATTTGTTTGTATGGTTCATTCTTATGCGTGTTTGCATGGTTCATTCTTATGCGTGTGGTGTGTTCTTATATTCGTTTGCATGGATTATTCCTGTATTTCATTGACGTGTGCGTGCTTGGCCCTCACCCTGTTTGCTCTGGTACGTCTTAGCTGGCATGGGTCTGGTTGATATATCCCTGTCTATGTTACACCTCTCCGTTCGTAGGCGGATGGCCCTTCGTGTTGCTAAGAAGTGCGTGCGAGTGTCTGCACGTACCAGTGAATACCTCAGTTATACTTATTCTATTGGGTTATATACAGCCAGCCGCATATTCAGTGTTTTGCCAGTGCATATCTGGTCTAAGAGGTGCCATGTTGCTTTCACCCAACCCGCTTTATACTACGCTGTAGTTAGTTCTGTTTGACGAATATCATTGCTAGTCTATGACACTTCAGTGCGCCATCGTCTGCCTCTTCGATTCGTCTCAATTCTACATCACTTTTTCGATATTTGTACCTGCATTTTTAAACCATGCATGCTTCTTAAACACTTTCAATGTTTGTACCTGCGTTTCTAAACCATGCATGCTTTTTAAACACTTTCAATGTTTGTTCCTGCATTTCTAAACCATGTATGCTTCTTAAACACTTTCAATGTTTGTTCCTGCATTTCTAAACCATACATGCTTCTTAAACACTTTCAATGTTTGTACCTGCATTTTTGAACCAAGCATGCTTTTTTTTAACACTATAATGCTTGTTCTTGCCTTTCTAAACTTTGCATGCTTCTTATACACTTATGTGTTGAAAGACGTTATATAGTCCGGTCGACATATTCGCTATGCACTTGGACAGCAGTCCTTTTGAATCTCACAACGGCTGGCGACTGCTTTGTTTTAGGGTTTTAGAGCAATTGACCGTGACTGGCACTCTGCTCACCTTCAAGATTTGGCTTTTGTACCGAAATGCCACAGATTCACTAGAATGCAGAGAGCGTCGTCATCAAGCTCGCTATATGTTTATTGGTACCCCACCTCAGCTCTTCGCCTTTACCTTAACAGGTTTGACGCAAAGAAATTGGTGAAGCTATTGCACGAATCCCAAACGACCGTCGGCAAAGGCTAAACTCTGACATTGGAGCCAAAATATAGTGGTGGTATACTTGTAATACACGCACAAACGTGCGTAAGGTATACGCCAGGGCTCGGCAGGTGCGCTTCTACTTAGAACATACCATGTTGCTTCGTAGGGTGTAGTTCTGCATCACGCCACAATAGTACGAGTTTGTGCACGGCAACCTTCGCAACGAGAAAGGTTAGCACGGACAGCGACACGCAGAGCAGGTTAAAGTCAAATGATCTGAATGTTTTAGCGACAAAAAGTCGGCATGCAGGTGCATCTGAGATGATTGGACTCTGTGTTGTATGTCTGAGATGACTAGTTCGACCTAGTGCAGACCTACACAGAAACATGTTGGGAAGGAAAGTCATCGGCATTGCTGTGGAGCCAGGAGTGATAGGAGTGATCGATGAAGGTTTAACCTCAGCACCACAGCTTTAGTAACTTTGATTTTTTTGTAGACCCAATGCTCAGCGTAATGGCACATGATGGTCGCCCACTATGTGCTTCTGATTCATCAACAGCGAGGAACCCTGCCGCTCTTACCATAGGCTGGCCATTTGACATTGACAAATAAAATTACTTCGGCAGCCGATTGATTTAGTGTTTTAGGATTTTTGTATATTTCGTGACCCTGTTCATTGTATTATCCCATAGCCTTCTGTCTAATTTACATAGCTATGATGATATACACTGAATCCCTTATGACACAAAGCCAATCGAGAGCCGGTACACTTTCTATTACTTACGCTCCTTCGATGTATTCCGAGAAATTTTCCAGGCTATCTACTCTCGTGTCGAAACAAGTTTTGCTGACCAGACAATGCTTGGCCAAGGGCGCTTTACCGCATCAAATTGCGCAACATAGCTACACCAACAGTCACTGTGCTCAACGACTTCTTATTAGGCAACATAGCTACATCAACAGTCACTGCACATTAAGCATGACGCATTGTTTTATTTTACGAGGCTATAAATATTTCAGACCCGATTTTCAGTTTTCGTGTGATATAAATTTGTGTATATTTATTTTAGGGGTTTAAAAATAATTTATATTTTGTGTTTAATTTTCAAGTGTTCGTATTTAGAAGGCTATGTCAGAAGGCTATGTATTTTGCAGATTTACACACGTTTTGGGGGGGGTTTTTTTTTAAAACAACCCATCAACAAAACAAGACAAAAATATTGGTTTACAGTATGCATTTTTAGAAGAAGGCAATGATTCAACAACAAATGATTTATTTTGCAGATTCACGCGTAAGACGTTTAGTATACAGTATAAATTACATATAGGCCCAATAACTTCCTTGAGTGATTCACTCATTGGCATATATCTGCTAACACAAACAACATTGACTCCATTTCCGGTAGACTCGTCGCCTCTTAGTTTCAACCATCATTATGTCTTTCTCCAAAACACTCAGTACTTTGAGGCGACTCACCAGCACCTCAACACGCACCAGAACGCTAGTGTTGACACCTACGTATATAACGAAGTCGATGCATTCAATACAAAATACATTTGGCTTCAGGCCTGTTCTGCCGATATTTTCGAGATATGTAATTGTATAAGTTCGTTGAAACTCAGTGTCACGTCGTTTCCATCCGTTGGAGTTTATAAGATTGCGCCTGACTGCAGGAAATTACTATTTACATGAGTGCATTTTTGTGTGCGCATAGAACACACACACACACAAATATATA